AACATAAATATTGCACTTGCATACACGACTCTGTTAGCAAAATGTTCCAGTACAAAGTAACGTTTTATCTTATGTTCATATCTCTCTACGCCTATGCGGATTGCTCTAAAGTCAAAAAGTCATTTCCGTCGGCAGATGGTATTCCTGAATGTTCAACGACACTACGATCCTCACCGAAATTTCGTCTTCAAGAACAATACGACATAATTGTGCTTGGAGCAGGCGCTGCTGGCAGTATTATCAGCGCGAAACTTGCTTCGAATTTAAGTAATATGAGTATATTACTTGTTGAAGCAGGTGTAGAAACAGGAAACAATGATAACGACAATATTACTAATCCAGCTCTATGGTTGTATGTAGTACACAATGATACACTAGAATGGCGCTTTCAAACTGTTCCACAGACAGCATTAAATAATAGGGTTATTGATCTGGGATTTGCGAAAGGTACGGGCGGTGGTGCTATGCACAATGCTATGGGATACGTTCGAGGAGGACAGAAATGGTAAGATATGTCCGCTAGAGATCAGATTCATTTACCAGTTAGAAATATTTTCTATTTAGGATGGATGCTTGGGAATTAGATGAAGGCGCAACCAATTGGAATTCTGAAACATTAACACCCTATTTTGATGCTGTAGAAGATATCCTGAAAGTTGTCTACCCCGCAAACGACACACAGGGCCTAGTCGATGCTATTTTCGAAGCATCCAGAACAGCGGGATTTCCCTATAATCCATCATATAATCATGGACCAGACATGCTGGGTATTGCTAACTTTGTCATGAGTATTAATGATGCTGACAAGACAACGAAACAACGAGAAAGGGATCCACATTATACTCGCGTTACTTCGTACCAAAAATATCTGGAAAATCACATATCACACAATCTACAGCTTGTAACTGGTCTTCAAGCTATTGGTTTTAATTTTAGTGATGGAGAGGTTCCTGTCGTAGATCATGTGGAATTATATAGTGAAAGACATCAATGTAAGTTTTCAATTGCAGCGAAGAAGGATTTAATTTTGAGTATGGGAGCTATAAATACACCTAAGTTGTTGCAATTGAGCGGTATTGGTAATGCAACTCACTTGCAATCGTTAGGTATTAAAGTTGTAAAAGATCTTCCAGGTGTTGGCATGAATTTACGTGATGATGTCGTTGTCAACCTGGTTTTTAAAACCACTGCTGTCGAAATTGATAGTCCTCCTGCCTCTTTTCTAAGTGCAGTCTTATTTGCGGTCGATAATAGTACAGCACAAAGCGTGTCCTATCGAAACGGTACAGGTTCATTAACAAATATCGAAATGCTGTTTAGTACAGGAAATATGATTGGAAATTCGTGGCCTATTGAATGGCAAAATTCAATAGTTCTATCACCTAACATCCAACAATGTAAATCGCGTGGTACGGTTATGATAGAAAGCCTAGATCCATTGGCATTTCCTACTATCGATCCAGCTTACCTTACCGTCGACGCAGATTTTGATCGAGTGCTCAATTCTATCCTACTTGGACGTGAATTATTATCACAACCAAGTTTCTTCAAATGGAATATTCAAGAAGTTCTACCTGGTCCAGATTATACTACTCGTGATGAATTGATAGAATGGATTCGTACCCATGCCACAACAGGCTTTCATTATATTGGTACATGTAAGATGGGAACAGACAAACTCTCCGTAGTCGATCCACTCAATATGAAAGTTTGGGGGATTGATGGTTTGAGAATTATTGATGCTTCTGTTGCTCCCGCATCGTTCTCTGCCAATACACAGTCGCTAACGTATGCAGTAGCAGCACGAGCTGTAGATCTTATTCTAGCAGAATATAACAATAAAAAATAAATTCAACGTTTATACTTGAAGCGCTTTGTTTTAGAAAAGTTCAAATAAATAAAACTAGATAAACCAAACTATCACTTATCTTCTACTAAGAATTTGAATGAATATTCTAAAGCTTGATTTGCTCGATCAATTGACCATCGATGATATTTTTGGAGAAGTTTTAACCTTTAGTAAGGATAACAAGACTATTGTAGTGAGGCAAATGACAGCTATTCCCTATTTTTTTTCTTTTCAATTATCGTTAGTCAAGAAGTAATAACAGCATTCATGGTATAGACTCTATACCATTTAACTGTTCATCCAAATGTTTAACAACGGTTTCATCCTTTAAGATACCAGTCAAAATAAGGTTCTTACTATAAATAATAGAAGATTAATTGTTATGAAGAAAATATGTGGAAGTTGTTGTTCATTTCTACAGACTACATTTAGTTTAAATCTAAAAAATTCCATGACATGGAGATTATCAAGAATCTGGCCAGCCGCACCACTTGCTGCTAGCATATCAATCAACATATACCTGGTGTTTTTTTTTCAACCAATCGTAACGATGGTGAATATATATTTATTCTCAACCGAATTATTATCACCTTCAATGATTATGTAGGATAAGAGCTATTTTTATTATACAATAGAGATGTTCCGAAGTATTCAGTAGATTTCATCATTCTATTGTGTACTGAATGTTTGTCTCACTCTTTCTGTCGGTCGACCATAATGCATACGCGAAAGTTCTCTTTCATGAAAGTATTCGTCGCCTCAGGCAAAGTTCGACATAGCTACTCGAGAGTTCTAACGCTCATCACTGGATGCAATATTGTTCAAGTCTTATCCACAATAGTGCACTTTCGTCGAATAAGTACGCAAGTCGAGATATCAATGATCTCGTCGTCTGCGACAGTGCACAACCCAGTATGATTGATTGGTAGACATATCATTTCAAAAGTAATAAAATAAACATGCAAGCATTACTGAAAACAATAGAATATCGACGTCATTGTTTTTCTGTAATAGAAAAAATCAATCTCATATTCTTTTAAGCAAATTAGCTGAGCGCGCGCGGTGTGTGTGTTGCTCTGCTCTTCAAAGAGTTTGAGAATAGGTTGCACATTAATTACTTCGAAATGCAGCACAGAAAAGAATTTCAAAGGTTTTTTGTCTTTCACCTTACCACTACCTTCTCATGCTATGAATCAGCTGGAAGACTGCGTCCTAGATTTCGCTTAATACTGTCTCTACTTGTAAATCTCGCTTGTCATATGAGACACATGAACTCCTGGCTGTTATATGTAAGGCCTAGTATGCAATATGTCACCCCAGGGAAAAGCGTGTGCCTCGTTTTATGTATTCAAAATACACAGCTTGAATTTATTAAATAGAACTATTGTTGTCTTTTGTATCCGAAAATATTCCACCATATTCCGCTAAACATCTCCATCAATTATTTATTGCTTTGGCCGATCATCATAAAGAGTACTCATTGCTTTAATTAAATATTTTTACGAAGATTTCTCCGAAAAAGAATAATATTATGTATTTATGTCGTTGATCTTTCTAGTTATCTGTACGTGACATAATTCGACTGTAGTAAAAACCACGTTTTGTTGCTTAACCTATTTTGTAACTTGAATATAAATCAACAACAAAAAAAACGGGTCAGTTACTTGATTCAAATTGCTTTTTTTCGAAAGAAGTACATATAGCTACAGCAAATATGCGACAATAAGGTATGTGCAAGTAGTCAAGAAATTAACAACGTCGGCGTAAATGTGGCCGTGGTGCACCAAAACCAAATCCCGCTCTCATATGATGATGATGGTGATGCTGAGAACCGACTCGAACTGTTGGTGTTGCACCATGCGTCGGACCCCATGTTGGTCCAAAGTAATTATTATAATGCTGATGTGATTGTGGACGACACTGCGACTGACTAGTACCCATCCTATTTATTGAGTGATAGATCAGAGATGAAGAGGAATCTACTATATTTTTTTGATAGAAGAGAAGGAAAGGGAGAGAGAGAGAGAGAGAGAGAGGAGGAGAAAAATAGCTATGACGACAATAGTCGATTCTTCTTCCTGTTTTTTTTTCAAGAAAGATAATTATAAAACACATTAAAGAAATAAGTTTTTAAACAGGAATAAAATATTAATAAATTTTTTTCTCTGTGGAAAATAGTTCGTTATTTCGATGAATAGACCACCAGTTTGTCTATACTTCTAGTATAGTCTCAACAAATACCATATAATTAGAAGAAATGATGTGATATCATTTGTTCGAGTCGATGGAGAGTCGATAAACCTCGATAGACAAAATAGCAAATATATTTGTTAATTAGGAAGCATTCTTTGGCGTTAAAAACAATTATAATCCGACGAAAACATACCGTAATCGGACTATTTGATCCAAATTAGCATACTTTCGAAGTATTTGACCTTTAACAATCCTACTGACAAGGAATGAACTGAAAAAAATATCCATATGTGTTATTCGGTTGCACTGGGAACGACCAATAACGACAGTCTTATATTAGCATCATTCTCGATTACCAATATAAGTTATACTTCTAACTGAATATTATATTCTAAAATTAAATAGTGTCTGTTAGCCTGGTAGTCTCTCTATTTGGCTCAGTAAGGCAAAAGAGAGCATTCAGAGTATGATTCGACTTGATAAAAAGTGAATGGATAGCGTACGGGGATTCTAAGTACATGGCAGAGCATCTGGCCATTCGGCAGGTGAGTTGTTACACACTCCTTAGCGGATGACTACTTCCATATCCACCGACCTGAGTTCACTACAGCAATCAGACACCCATTTTGCCATCCCTCCAGTTCTCAGACGAAGTATCCCCGCGAAAATACAAGCCAGACACTTACGATTTTGCTCGGTGTTTTTTCTTTTTATGCTGCTTCGCAATTCAAATTGTGCAATAACGTCCGCTTGATGACAAGCAACAGGAAGATGTTTTGCGTTCTCAAATATGACTTACTTTGTTGGTTAACATAACTCATGAGTCACGAAGAGGAACGTTTTTTTTTCGAAATCAACTTATATTTCTATTAGAACGAGAAATAAAACTATAAAAAACCAATTTTCATCCCATGCATGAGTCATCCGACATATAATATCCTAAGAAATCTGAAAAGAATTACAACCAGTGCATTCGATTCCAATCATGAGACATCTTGGGCCGTTGATAATTATAATAGTAATGAAAGAGATTCGATGACGATGTCCGAGCAGCAGTAGAATTTTGTCGTGTCGTTGGTACATCTGTATTGATTCGAATAAAGGCGAGAAAACTTAAATATTTATCGTTGGTATATTTCTTTCTTAGTCTTGTACGACAGTGATGTGAAATCGATAGATAACCGCCATCGAAGTCTTCGTAGAAAAGTCGATACGAATCCCAAAAACCAAAATCTATTTCAGATCGTTTTGTTTCGAATAAACAACTACGTTCGTTGGCTTCAACCTAATCCATTATTCAATTTCTCATAGTTTCGATCATTTATTTTACTTACCAAGCCGAACAATCGATGATTTCGACCGCACAGATATCGTTGACTTTGTTTATGTTGAATAAAAAAGAGATTCACAGCAACAGGAAGAAATACAAAGATACCTAAAAGCCAAAAACCAATAATATTCAGTTCTTGTGACCTTTACTAATAGAATTAATGTGTTTCCAGATGTATATATTCTCAAGTATGTGCTGACAGCGAAGACTTGCCTTCTATGATCATTTATCAAGTGTCCGAGCCAATTATTCAAGCTTATTAGCAGTTCATTATGATCGAAAGATAAGAGTCATTAGCACGGTGGTACGGATCTCTATTTCCGTCAATTTTTTCCATGGTCGCCGACACGGTTTGACTTACCATCAATGGTTTCTTGTGTATCGTGAAGATCAGTGATATGTTTTGCATGGATGAAACCGTCTAACGAACGCATCTGCAGCAAACATTGACTTCTGGAAACGATCTTATAGGTTGAGACAAGTTTTTCTCGTTCATCATATGTATCACGTTCACTACGCGATGGTAAGTATTCTATTGCTGTTGCAGATAAGAATATGATGAACGTTAAGTAGATGATTAAGACCACGAATCTTTCGTACAGAATAGCAAAGATGGCAAACATGTGAAGATGTTGTCAACTTGAATTGGTATGAAGTGAAAAGAAGAAATATGAGCGTAAGACGATTAACACAATATATACCTGTTTGAGAATAAAATAATGTCAAATCAGTTTCACTTGTCGATATAATGCATATAAACGTTTGCAAATACAAAGAGAATTAGTACAATTAACCTTAGAAGTGTTACAGAATAGCAAAAAAAGACGATACTAAAGAAAGAACAGGACAAGTTTTTTTTTCCTGCCTATAATAGCACATCGTAGAAGAGTATTACCGGCTAGGGAAAGGAAGAAAAAAAAATTGTACTAAATTATTATTGACATAGGTACTTTAGAACCGAAGTACTTATTCAGTATGATAAAAGTGGCTCTTAATATCAACTATATTATTACTGCTCATTCGAAAGTTGGATCAGAATCGTTTTTAAATCTAAGTAAGCGCCTTCTTGCTTGACAAGAATAACGGGATTTGTCTGTGCGCGAAGATCTTCCCGAAATAGCAAATAATTGCAAAGCATAATTTAATAAATTTAGTCGAACTTGAACTGATCAATGCTTCATAAGTGGATGAAACCAGGGACGATGCGGTACAACAAATCAATTCTAGCATATATCACATTAGGCGACATATCTCCAAAATCAATTTTACGTTAATTGTCGACAATTATGTCGATTCGTTCTAGATCAACAAATAGTGAATCATTAGCTGGCCCGCATTATTGAATTCGGTACTGTATCATATTTTGATAATGACTTTCCGCATCAATCAGAGTTCTTCGCATGAAGGAAAGTGCGTATGCGCTGGTTATGGTCACCGTATGTGATCAGTTACATATAAAATGTAACGGATTAAGTAAACATGCAAAATGTTGTCAAAGGAGAAATAGCAGGTTATGAGTTCACACAGTCAGTTAATCACTATTAATCATTCCTGATCAATAATCCGCTGTTTTTCACTTGTTTACACCCTAATATCTTTCATAGTGAGCATGAGCTTGTGATAGTTTTCATTAGGTCTGATAGTGAATCGAAATCGAGATGTACTGATAAATTTTAACTGAATTATTCAGATAACCCATTGATTCATTGTCGCAGATGAAGCGGACAAAGTAATTTTAACAATTTACTCGAAAGAAATGACTGTTTACGCTGAATAAAATGAAGAATCAAGCTATTACGGCGTAATTCATTGTTTTTTCAATAATAAAAATACAAATAAAGTACGATCTATTTATAAGTGATCAGGTATTCGGGTAAAACGTGTCTATTTGAAAAGACGACATGAATATTTGAGCGGCCTGCTACTGAATCATAATTGGATGGACACCTAGTTATCGTCCGATCTCCTTCACAGCTCTGACCAGTGAGTACTCTGCACATAAGAATTCGTTTTTCTTTGGTCAACGGATTTCGCAAAGCATATTGATCACTAAGTGATCGACTGGATGAGAAATAGAAGCCACGTCCATAAGAACTACCTGTAGAATACATGTTCATCATAGAAATCTAGAAGTTATTATACAGGTATAGAATCTTACCATTCGCCCCAATACGTTTGTGATCAAATCCATGGTGTAAAATCTTTTCAGCCGCATCATAAGGACATCCGTGGAATAAAAGTTTTTCTGTATTATCGTGACCAAGCCTGTTATCAACCAATCGTTTTTGATTGAGATATTCTATTAACCATACAGTATTGTCAATTCGATGAACTTGAACAATCGACGATGCACCGCCATCGAAATCATCAGCAACCCTTTGAAATTCATCAGACTCTTTCTGTACTTCGGTGAGTGTGCTCGGTGGTACGGACCAGTTTTCTTTTGAAATATGTGTTAATTGCATACCGGTTGTGTCGGGTGAACCAAAACGCGGACAAAATATATCATATGTTTGGGTAAGCAAAGCAAATATTTCGTCAATCGACATATCACCATGAATAACACAATCGACTTTTATTTCGCCACGTAAAAAGATTAAACAGATCAATAGTGGATATATTTCTTTCGGTGATGAATCAATGACAGCAGCTACTTCTTCTCCTACATGTTCAATAATAATATTCAGGAGTCTATAAAATTTAATCGAAGATCTTTACTCATTTTCGTTTCGTATCTTCAACTTACTCAAAATAATTTTCTTCAGTTAGATTCCATGACCATAGACCAAATTGTTCCATCAGACAAGCACGTATTTCTTCCGATTGTGAAATAGTCCGATTAAAAAGTTGTGTTTTTATATTTGCATTATCATATATGTATAATGCCAACGGTCGAGACTAAAACATGGCGAATATGCGTATTTGTTTTTGAAAACAACCCCTTAAATTACAATAGTTGCTCCATACAAAGAGTTAGATAAAACTTGTTCGAACGATTGTTGACAAAATGATGCCAATGACCATGAAGACTGATCAATAGGCCGTTCACAGGAAGGATCTTGTTCCAAAACTAGAAAATGTATGATTTAATTGACTTCAATGTAACCTTTCATTGGCCTTGTCTTACCTTCGCTCTCATCCATTGATGCAAACGACTCCGTTTTCGTTGTTGTCTAAAAAGATTCTCAGTATTTAAAGTTTCACAATGGAAAACTCTGAATTAGCATACTAAAGTTTCAATTGTTTGTAATGTTTCCATAACTTCTCTTTGGTACACTAGAGTTTCATCAAATGAAAACAGGAGAAATGATGATGTAAGTTTTAAATATACTATTCTAGGCAAATTCCCATTTAGTCCACGTTTATGGTGCGTCATACGTTGGAGAGAAAGAGAAAAGTAAATAAATAAACAGAACGACTACCAACATAGTGCCACAATGAATGGATGGAAAAAAACAGATCATTTTTCCTATTAAATCAAAATAAAATGACTATGACACACTTCAAAATATATCAAGTATTTGCCTATTGGCTGATATGATAAATCATAGGCGAATTTAGTGATGAAAATTCACGAAAAAGTGACATATACAAGTATGATGATTTGGCTTTACATTGAATCACTGGCCAAAGATTCTTTCTGTGACTTTTCACCTGTAGAATAAGTGAATATGAATTTCACCGTGTTGACTTTCAAAAATTTTCAGAAGTCATTTATCATAGTAAAGTAAGCCACATGGAAATGTGCAGAAGGATACATTGGGACAATCATCAGATCTCGATCATTAGATAAGCAAAAACCAATGACGTACCTGTCTCCTCTCCCCACCCCCACGTCAATCGCCAACAATCGCGAATTGATGCACATTGTATTTCTATCATCTCTCGTTTACCCCGATCGATGCACTCGAGTATAAAATAATCAAGATGTGACTATGTGCATCTCATAGTTAATAAAATATTTATTAGAAGTTTAATGATTTTCATCAATGTGAAATTCAACAGTCGTGGTCGGCGTAACAACAGGATTGTTGAGTAAAAGTCCCCGAGCAATAGCTCCCTGTTCGATCTTTTCCAAGTCCGTTTGATGTAAATGAACTTTGGCTCGCGTGACACGAAAATAAAAACCAATTGCGAATAAAATAAATGGACAGCCAACAAGACACAGTGTCACAAGCGCTGATATTGCGGCTAGACGAGAGAATCCACTAACTTTAATCCAAATGATAATTCCCAATTCGATTATAAATAAAAATAAACCAAGTCCAGTCGAAACGACCCAAGCTATTTCGATATAGATATTCAATGACGACAGTGGTTTACTATTTTCATTATTTATCCACATATCACTTTGACGGATTACACTTTTCAATTCAGGTAAAATACACATCGACATCAATAATGCAAGAAGATGTATTCCAACTAACAGACATGAGATAATAGCGTAACAAACGAGTAGATTGTCATTTGAACTATGATCCTTGTACGAATCTAAGGATAATTCTACGATTGCAACCTTTGAAACAAAAGCAAAGCAAGGTTCGATAAGAACGATGCAAGATAAATGACTTACGATAGCGAATCCACTGAGTAATGCAGACGTTTCATTGACACTCTCGAGTTTTGATTTACGGTAAAATAGATTTTGTAAGCGTTGGTCTGCTTTACTCGTTTTTCCTAAACAAATAATCATTTACATTAACGAAACAATGTATTTATTAATTAAATTTACCTTTTGTGGATAGATATAATGACGAATCGGACATACTTTCTTCTTATCAACTAAACTACAGCATAATGGTACAACGATCAAGGAAAAAAATTACAAATTCATTCGACTGATTGTTTTTCGTTCGCTCGTTCGTTCGTTTCTTTCTTTTTCTTCTATCAGACGATACACAAATAGTCCGATCATTTTTTGATAAGCGTTACTAGGAGTGATACCTTATTCTCTTTCTCGTTCGCTTTTTCTTCCATTCTGTTACATACTTGCTTGCCATACTAAGTATATCATATCGAAATATTTGCCCTCATGTTGAATAGTTTCTTTGCTTTGATCACAGTCAACGTACAGATATTTGATTCGCTTTATCAATTCAGGCTATGGGATATATTTCTATGCGAGTTCATCAAGAAGTCACGCTACAAATCATTTTATAATAAGAATGTACCAAATCTGTTCACATGATCACAATGCCGAAAGCGAAAGATCCCTGTCATGCGATTTCTATTTTAGCCTTTGATTATAAAGCGATATATTCTTGTCATAATTTGTTCTCTATTCCATTCAATTAACAGAGCATATTCTGTTCGTCAATATTACATCCCGTTCGCCTACATTGTGTGCTCATAGAGAACGATGAATTCTTTGTTTCGAAGAGCTGAACATAAACGAAATTTTACAGATTCATTTATTGAGAAAACACGTAAATTCGTACGACAAGGCCTTCAAGGTAAATATAATTGCAAATTTCTTTGTCTATTTTCGCAAGTAATCTAAGAATACCGTAGCAATAAGTTCTGCTATTTCTAAACATGTGATAATAAAAGAAAAATAAGAAGAAGGAGCAGCAGCAGCGATGACGTATTGGATCGATATCCTTTATTCCGGAGAACGATACTCGATTACAATATTATATATTTAGCAAAAATAGCACACACATATCATCATTTCGACACGACGATTCTTGTTATTGGCACGTTTGTATAATTGAGATAAATGTTTGATATCTCGACAGAACTAAAAGTTTGAAATACGTCAATTCACTCAAATCACGCAAAGATCACGTCACGCGTATGTCTGTTGTTTTCATTCAGATTTTTGGATAAGAATATCTGACACTAGTAAATTTTCAAGATGGGTGTTGCAATGGTAATAAATACACGAATTGGTGGAAGTAAGTGGCATGGAGAGTAGATTTAGCTCTTTCACAGCATGTATCTTCGAAAAGATTCCTTGTGATAATCAATTCGTTCGTTTTTTGACGACGATTGAGCCGATTAATCATCATCATCAAATATGACGCTCTCAACAATGTGTGAAATGGCTCCTTGATGACATTTGATGGAATCGCGGCTATGCATGTCGTCTCTCTTAACATTGATAAGTGAGGAAGGGAACTTCGGGAGTTCTTTTGCTTTTTCTCTGATCATAAGATTAATCTTTCTTTCTTCTTTTCCTTCGAATCAACGAGCGAGAAATGAGAGAAGAAAAAGCTATTTATTTTACATCTCATGTCTGTCAAAATGATACTTTGAAAAACGTCGTCGATTGAGTCGATCATCATTATTTAGATTGTTGACATTCACGATATTCTTCTTTTCTTCTCTCGTTATATGAAAGACAGAGAGAAACGTTTTTCCTGTTTCAACAAAGATAATGGTACATCATCTCTTGCATTTCCAAGACTGTTTCAGATACAAACGACTTTTTTTTCCTTATTATAATCATATGGATGATCGACGATGGATGAATACTCCTCGTCTGTCGATTGTAAGTTTAGTAGAAAGAAAAAGAATTGTACCAGAGAGAGAGAGCAAGAAATCTCTTCTGAGCTTCAAACTAGACGAATCTAATCAAATACTCCCACTTGAGATTTTTCTTTCAACTGATCTATTTAGACACTGATTATGTTGATGATGGAGTGGAAACATTAAAAAGATACAAGCCGCGAAGTTTGGATGAATTGGCAACGCGAACGAAATTTAGTAAAAAAGAAATTCAATTGATTTATCAAGGTTTCAAACAAGAGTGTCCATCAGGTATGATTGGAACGAAATTGGATGAAATTTGAGCGATCGTTTCTGTTCTATGTTCTTAGGGACAGTGAATGAAGAAACTTTTAAAAACATTTATGGACAATTTTTTCCATTTGCTGATACGTCGACTTATGCCCATCTAATATTTTCGACATTTGATTTACGTTCCGCTGGCTTTGTGACTTTCGAAGATTTCCTCGTTTGCCTATCGACATTATGTCGCGGAACGATCGAAGAACGCTTAAAATGGATCTTTGCATTGTATGACACGAAAAAATCAGGTAAACTAACAAACGATGTAAGTAATAACCATCAATAAGGAAAACTGGCAAGTTGTGAGTTGTTTTTTTCGCTTAGGATTTCTATCTGATTCTTTGTGCTATTTATTCTCTACTTGGAAATGTAGCCAATCGACATTATGATCACGAAACGATTCGAGAACATACGATGAATGTCTTTCAAAAATTCGACAAATTACATCGAGGATACCTTACTGTACAAGATTTCGTCTCATACTGCTTGAAAGTAAAATGAAAACGTTCGCAAATGCTTTCAATTCAATCTTTCGATTTTCTAGGATCCGCTAATTATTCAATCAATTGAATCATTACGAACGACTGTGTAACGCAACAAATCGTTCCATTGGAGCAATGAATAAAGACCATTAGTATTTCATAGATCATCTGAATGTCATAATTACATTTGTTCGAATTCGACGATATATTTGAATCTTACGATAATTTAATTTAAATAAGCTTTTAGACATGAAAATAACTATAAAAACGCGTTACTTGCTTCGATAATTATATCAATCATGCTTTTATGCGTAAAAGAAACGAATGTTCGCCTTTAACTTCTTAAGGCTTGTAAACGTTTCTCCATTTCATCTTCTTCACTATCGACATCAGCTGTCGGAAGTGCCAGTGGTTTATTATCAACCACAGTCGGTAGTTGACTGACTTTTCCTGCAACAGACAAAAACGTTTTCTTAGAGAAATCGTTCACGTTCATTGTTCTATTACCAGCAAGAATTTCGTTCAATACTTTATTCACTTCTTCGTCAGTTTCTTCTTCGAGGTCATTATTATCCGTAGCTGCGTCGACAGCTTCATTCATCATTTCGCTCATAATACCCATCTGAAACGACAAACGACGTTTGAATTTTTTTTCTCTCGAAGCACTATGAAATATTTTCGTACTTTGATTAGTTCCTTGGAAAATTGTTCGGAAATCGATTGAAATTGTTCAACTTTCATCAACTCTGCTAAGGAATGTGCAATTTGACTACTTGTTTGCATCACACCAGTTATTTTCACATTAGCTACACAATTCAGCTCATAGATTTCAAACACAAATTTATCCGTAGATTACTTAGTTGGGTTTTGACTGCACCATCGATCGTATCGAGATTAGCTTTCGCGGCATATAGATTACTTTTATCGCGTTTAATTCTAAATATTTGACAAGAGATTACACTTTTCTGACAATAGTTTATTTCTCTATTTACTTAACGACTGCTTTGGCTAATGTTCGAAGAGCAGCTTTATTGTTGGCCATGGCATGTTTACGAATATCGTTTGAAAGACGTTGAATTTCTCGGTCAGATTCTGTAAAAATGAAATTTATGTAGAACAAGTCAATTGAATGACTCCCTTACGATCAATTTGGCGATCTAATTGCCGCTTTTCTTGTCGGATTTGTGTGCTAATTGCTCGCGACTGCAAACGAAAAGATACAGATGAAAACATTCAAAAAAGAAAATCCCACCTGCTCACGAGCAATTTCATATGGGGTTCGTTTATCTTTTTTTCCGAAGAAACTCATGGAAATGGTTTTCTACTTGGCTAGATTTCGAAACCAATGAATGTTTATCGAATGACGTTGACTGTCTCGCTTTTATACGATTATCTTATCTACAACCTAACAAAATTGTTTTTCTCTTTTCTCTTTGTTAGCGTTCTTATTTATTCTATGTTGTCATCATTTTATGAATAATTTCAATTACAACTTACTCATTTCAGTTCGCTTTATTTACATTTGCATATCATGCACTCTGCATTCTGGTAGTGACATTGCTAATTAAGGAAAAAGTACTTCTAGAGAATCTTGAACATCTTCGAAGAAACTCCTCTAGATTTTTCATGCCAAAGTAGTCACGTTTCGTTTGTAATTTCCAGATAAACTAGTTTTCAACGCCAATGTCAGTCGATCAGTTGGATTCCGCTATTGGTGATACATTAGTAACACGTGTTACTGATAAGACCTATGTTCCGATTCGTTCGTTATATTCGAATCAGCCTGTCGTTATGATTTTTCTACGTCGTTTCGGCTGTCAACTATGTCGTTCGTATGCATTGAAATTAAGTAATGAATTACATCCAATTTTAAAAAAGAACAATATTGGTTTTGTCGGTATTGGACTGGAACAGTTTGGCTTAGAGGAATTTCAGCAAGGAAATTACTTTTCGGGCGACCTTTATGTTGACGAAGGCAAGAAAACATATCGTACCCTTGGCTTACCTTATCTAGGTTGGATAAAAGGCATTTCTGATCTTTTCGTCAGTTCCACAAGAACGTGGAACGACGAAACTAAAAAGATGGGTGTTACGGGAAACTTGAAAGGTGATGGCTTCCAGTTAGGTGCTACATATGTTGTCGGACCGAAAGATGGGAAAGTTTGGTTAGCTCATCCTCAGAAAGATTAGTAAGTAATTGATAAACTACATCGGATCAATGATTATATCATTCTACATTTGTGTTTAGTGGTGATCATCCATCAATCGACGAGATCGTGAAAACACTTCGAAATAACATGTCAGATTTTCGCGAATAGAGTTTTTATAATTTTAAATCGCTTTTATGCAATAGAATTCGATTCGATCTTCATCTATCCGATAAAAAGCAAGAATGGGATCGTTTTGTGAGAAATACATTCACCATCATTTATTCGAAAGAACTCAATGCATCACTTTAACAGAACTTATTAATATTATATTCACACTATGATGCGAAATTGAGGAAAGACGACCAACGTCGCTATTGGTGTATACTACATGACTTCTAAGCGAAAATAAAACACGACGTGAATCACTTCACACATTCTGAGTTGAGGGCGAACATGTATCCTTCCTCTATCCATTTTTTTTATGTCGTCGACATTGATGCACACTTCAGTCTTGACGTGACTTATTCTTATTATTGCAATAGGGCTATGTAAGGTTGACAGAACGTTAAAGGATATTTATTTGTGAAAAATGACTAAGGCTTCATTTTGGCCCTTTGGTTTTTATAGATTAAAGAATAAAAGAAAATTGTTTCTTCCATAAAAATTCGACGAGACATGTAGACATGCTTGATTATCATTCACGATCGATGACTATTCATTCTGTACGGTTACTCCAAATAAGCCAGAGAGCATGAATACAGCCAGGTAGAACGCCGAGAAGAGTAAGAAGACTAAACAGAAAAAAAAGAGATTGATAGTAAAATTGCTTCGTCCAATTGAAAGTCGACAATACATATTTAAAAAGAAATGGGATGTACATCCAACTTTTAACAATGCAGCAACTGGTGGCAACAAAATGGCCAAAATTGTCAATAGGCTAAAAATAGAAAGATCAACCAGTAAAGGATGAGTCACTCGCTTCAATTGAACTTACAGGTTACCGCAACAGCCCATTTCGAACTAAAGCTATTTGTATAACGATTAGAATATCTTTTATCTGAAAGAGATTGTAATGTAACTATGTCCTTGATAAAAACTGATCGCATCGAATCTATATTCAAATACGTGTGATAATGTTTACTGCATCGTCAAATGACTATTTTTCTCTTTTCTCATTCTGTTTTTTTTTCTATTCTTATTACCGCGTTTTGGCATCGGATCAAGCCTTTCGCCTTCACATATATAATCGACGACACATTCAGCTCGCAATGTAAGTATTCGTCCATTTGCGCATCGAAGTACACGTATCAGTATGAGTAGCTAAACAGACTGTACCCTATTTTCATTAACCATAGAATAATTTCTGACGAAAAATTATCGATCGTTTCGTAGCGATAATAACATGCTAAAAGAGATTGCGACCGTCGTATACATAGTGAAGATTTTTCTACTTGGACCGCTCCTTTTCCACAAAAGAAGTGTTAACTTTTGCCGTTCTTTTTCTTTTTAAGAGCAAAAACGAGATTTTCTTTTAAGAACATGGTTAACGACCGTAATAACTAATACTCTTCTTTCTTTTCTCTTTTTTTGCGATGAAATTCTTCTCAGGTCAATCGGTACATTATGTATGGAAGCTTCTGAATCTTATTCAAAAGATATGATTTGAAAAACGTCATATTACTGGATTTCTTTCTTTTACTTTCTTCTTTATATGCATCGATTACTTCGGTAGCTAAACCGATGAATGATCGATTGACTCAAAACGAGAGAAAAATCGGCTCATAAAGCATATATAGCTGTATTACAAATATCGAGTACTGAAATGTTGTTCGAAAACCGTCTGATCGTGATTCAAATAATGTATCTATGACAAATTTCCCTTTGGTTTTCGATGATTTTAGTGTATTCAGTGGCTATGAATCACGAAGATAACCACCACAATACATTAGATGATTATCACATCCCATTATGTTCGATCACCTATACGAAAATGATTTCTTTGACCCCGCAAATTTCTTTTTTCCTCTCTTTTTCGTATTGTGTATTATGCTATTTGACCGCTTGACCGTTATCTCCTCATATAAATTGCATTCATAAGAAGAGAATAGAAGATAAACAGTAGTCAAAGTGCACATCACACTACGCTGCATCGTTATTAACGAAACTCTTCAGCCGGAAAGATAGCTTTAACACCGAAACTGGGAGTTGGATAACATAGATTTTGAATTTTTACTTAATTTCGTAGTCGCACAGGGGCGTCTGTCGTACATATTCATTCGTTCTTTTTTTTTCTGCTCACTGCATAATACAAGAGATACTTTTGTATCAGCTTGTACCGATACACTAATTGGTGTTTTTTTTCCGCCCTACTCATTAGTTGAGTAGAGTTACAGATAAACATAAATTAGCATCAACGAAAAGTAAGGGGTATAAAAACATCGTTTCTCTTTACGTATTTGCCATTTTTTTCAAGTATCATACTATATTATTTCAGATAACCTAGCGTTTTCCTCACCGATCGTTTTTGTCTACCATGGGTGATTTAGTTGGCAATCTTCTTTTATCCATTTTGGCTATTATTTTGCCACCAGTAGCTGCTATTATCAAAGTAAAAATCCCAATAAATTAAACCATGATTCTACTTGAACACTTCTGTTCGTTTAGGTTGGATGTACAACACATTTTTGGATTAATTTGTTGTTAACTCTACTCGGTTGGTTACCTGGCTGTATTCATGCATTATGGCTTATCTGGGCCGGTTCAGTCTAATTATGTACAATTCTATTGAACAAATCATAAACTGAAAAAGAACATTCGTTTCTCTGTTATTTCTTTCTTTATTACTAATGCATCCTAAATCCAGCTAAAACTTTCTTATACATATAAAAGAAAAAGAAAAAGAAAAAAAACGACACTGTCTAATAGTACTGGCCGTATTGCGCACCTTGATCATTATAAGGAAGTTGCTGTTGTGGTGGTGGTGCTGCTCGTGCTAAACCGGGTGGTCGTTGCATTGCTTGTTGTGCTTGTATTCTCCATTGATCCGTAAAATTCTGTCCACTTGGAGGAGCACCGCGACGCTTTGTTTCGTGTCGATACTGTCCAGTAGCTGGATCACGAGTTCGCTCGATAATTTCCCCTTGGTCGCCAACGAAATATCCTACTTGCATGCGATCAATGCCACGATCTGGATCGCGTAGTGCTTTTTTCGTTTGCCAGATACCACCAGGTCCCATTCGACGCTCGTCATGAGCTTGAACAATATGTGGACGACCATCTGGCCCACGAGATATTTGCGTCACATTCATCGAACTTATACCGAAAACTTTTACTCCTGAATCACCCGAGCTTAAATTTGCCAACGAAGAAACACCGTCCAGACTCGGTCCATTCTGTACCATATCATTCATCATTCGATTTGCGATGCCGAGAAATGAACGAAATATATCTCCATCGCCGCTTTCATTGAAGACAGCTCTATCAACAACTGCGCCGTTGTTCGAATTATACTGTTGAATTGGATATGACATGCTGATTTTTCAAAAGGAAAATACCTTGTGTTTATCGGTTTTATACGTTTGTATATATATATTATTAACTTTCGTTCTAATGACGAAAAAAAAGGTATTTTTATTACTTGAAACTTAGAGAATAAATGAATAATCATCGAGAATGATCGATGGTTATACTTGAATGATTTTTCAACGCTTTGTTATTTTATTTTTGACATGTCTATTCCGTATTTAGGGTTAAAAACGATTTTAACGGGTGAAAGAGAGAATGAAAGTGATTGAATTCTTCACGGAACAACGTGAAAAGTCATTGACTTAAATAAAAATCTTGATATCGAAGCGTTTTCATACGTGCGGCTTTTTATATCATTTTAAATGAGTCTAATTCTCTTTTACTGTTGTTTAATCCTTGGTAATATTCACCTTGAGAAGGAAAGACAATAATATTTATTAAAGTTGATTTACCTCTAATCTATCTAATTAGTAAACAGCAGAGAGACGATCGATTAGATAACAGCGTTATCATCTTGATGTTTGGGCAATACGGTCCCAAACTAAAAAAATGCATCTTCTTCGAAAGGTAATGAAACTTCGAATCAAAATTGATTTGTATTCAATTAATTTTCATTGTGGAATTCCTGTCAGAGCAAAAACAGTATTTCCGTTCTTTATTTTTTATTGAATCGTTCGCAAATAATATTGAAACATATCTCGAATTCATGCTTATCTTGCCGTTCTCGTGTCAAGATTCGTTTTCACCCTTTCCCTTTGACATATGCGCAAAGAAAAAAAAGTGATGCAGCGTTCATTTGGAACTAACGCTGGTGACGCATCGACAAGTCTACTGCGCTCTTCATTCATCGCGCGTTTTTTTCCTTTTCTATCGCGCGAGAGCGGACGGATGAAATAATCCACGTTCGTCGTTCTTTTCTCTTCCTTTCTTCGCTACTCGTAACATCGCGCAGCATACGCACGCACCCCGACACGCACATCTATAGACAGAAGAAAAAGGACGACGATAGAGGCACAACTAGTAAACAAAGTGTCAATTGATTTGAAAAAAAAACATGGTAAAATAATCAAATGCAATAATTTTCATACTATTCGATTCTTTTAGCTTGTTCCGGAACGTAATCCATCGACGCCAGTTTCAGCTAACAATTCAAAAAAACGTTCGACATTGACTAAGCAAAGAAAGTAAATATATGTCGTATTGATTTTCAAAATAAGAAAGAAAAACCGAATATTTCCTATGAATTCAGGTCAAAAAAAGTTCGCAATGATTTCGATGATAACGATCTATCCAAAGATGGTGAAAACTCTCTATCTCAGTCAATTTTTGAAGAATCGACTTCATCTAAAAATCGTAAATCTCGATTTTCTACAACTTTCAATTAATACATTGTCATTTTTCTTTTGCTACAGAATTAATTGGACAGAAAATAACTGATTCTCAAATACCACGTGGAGCTGTTCTCACAGATTTGAATGATGAAGGCGATGATAATATTGACGATCAGCAAATTCAAGGCGATTCGTATCAAATTAAAAAGTTTAATGAGCCCGAAGCCTGTGAACAAACTCATCATATAATAATTCCAAGTTATTCAGCTTGGTTCGATTACAATGCGATTAACGCCATTGAAAAACGTGCATTAATCGAATTTTTCAATGGGAAAAATCGATCAAAAACACCTGAAATGTAAGCTCTGAGTTGTCGATCATCTCTGTGAATCCATCAATGTTCGTTCGTTCTTTCTCTGTATTGTAGATATATGGCATATCGGAATTTTATGATTGATACTTATCGTTTGAATCCGAATGAATATTTATCAATTACTGCCTGTCGGAGAAATCTAGCTGGTGATGTTTGTGCCATAATGCGAATTCACGCATTTTTGGAACAATGGGGATTGATTAATTATCAAACGGACGCAGATCTTCGTCCAACGCCAATGGGACATCCGTCAACATCGCATTTTTCGATGCTTGGAGATCCAGCTTCGAGTTTAGCAGCTAGCAAAGTAGGTGCAATGATGAGATTTGTTGTCAATAATTGATCGAATTGAAATTTCTTCCGAATAGACGAATACAGCAAGTAAACAGATTGCAGATTTAAAGCAAGAAGCTAAACGTGAAGAACGTGATGTTGAAAGTACATTAGGTCTGAGGACGGATCAATATAATAAAAAACTTAATCTAGTAAGTTTCAATTCGTAACACAAAGAAAAGTTCGATTTTATACTCTTCCGTTTGTAGAATACGAAAACAAAAGCAAAAGATTGGTCAGATCAAGAAATTCTTCTATTACTCGAAGGTAAAACATCTAACTGATCTGTGCTTCTTCTTTCAACGGAAATCTTTGTTTAAGGTTTGGAAATGTACAAAGACGATTGGAATAAAGTTTGTGAACATGTTGGAACTCGCACACAAGATGAATGTATTTTGAAATTTCTTCAATTGCCCATCGAAGATCCATACTTAGAAGGCAATGGCACTGCATCAGGTCCACTTGCTTATCCAGCTATACCATTTAGTCAAAGTGGTAATCCTGTTATGTCAACTGTTGCATTTCTAGCATCAGTTGTCGACCCACGTGTTGCCAGTGCGGCAGCCAAAGCTGCATTAGAAGAATTCTCTAAAACTCATGAAACAATATCAGCAACTACAGACGAGACGACGAGAGAGACTACTGAAGCGGCTACTGTTGAACAATCAACCGACTTGAATAGTAACGAACATGACGATTCATCTAAGATCAAACAGGAGAAAGTCGATGTCAATGAATCAGATGAAAGTAAAAAAATGGAAGTCAATGATACGGAAGAACCTCAAGTAACAAACAATGATGAAACAACGACAGCATCATCATCATCATCATTATCTACGATTCCAAAACCGACAACAAACGCGGATCAACAAGATCCTAGAAAATTATTAGCGGCGGAAATCAATGACAAAGATATTAAAGCAGCAGCAGCCAGTGCCTTAGCGGCCGCTTCTGTCAAAGCTAAAGTAAGTCTCTTCAGATCGAACGATATCATATTGATGATTGTTACTTTAAATTTCAGTATCTAGCTTCAATTGAAGAACGAAAAATCAAATCTCTAGTAGCACAAGTTGTTGAAATGCAAATAAAGAAACTGGAAATCAAACTGAAACATTTCGAAGAACTAGAATCCATAATGGATCGCGAACGTGAAATGATTGAACTTCAACGGCAACAATTATTGCAAGAAAGACAACAATATCAATTTGAATACGTTAAAGCCTCGGAACATAAACATCGACAAACTTTGGAAACTTTCAACGATAAGTCATCACCATTACCACCAGCATCGAATGTTACGAATGGAAACGATACAAACATGCAAAGTGAAGAATCGATGGAATCACAACAAAGCGATAGTAAGAACTTGACTTCGAACTCGATTTAGCTAACGATCTGTTCTTGTTTCTTTAGGTTCACCTGCGCACATGTTGTTGAGAAATGAAGGTAAACTATAATACTTTTTCTGCTCGCTTCATTCATGCTTTTTCTTTCGATCGGTTGAACTGCATGTTAGAAATCTAGTTTTAAAATCAATTGATATGTATAATGTGCTCTCTCGCTGGTTAGAATATACAAATGAGCATTGAAAAAAAAACAAATTTATGCTCCTAAAACCAACATTTACTTGAGTTTAGTCTAATGCTTATACATAATATCTATTATTTCCATGTCAGTCGTCTTTCTACTATTCATGTGACGTTGATCTTCTATCGTTTTTTCTATTCTTCAATGATCCACTTGGGATAAATCAGAATTGAGCGAGAGAAAACGTTAATACATGTGTTGTTATTGCGGATTCGATGTGACGGAATATCTTTTTTTCCAATTTCAGGCAATACAGTAGAAACCTCGTCTCATCCAAATGAAAAAATGCATCTGGAAAGTGCTGGTGAAAATGGTGACGACTCCAATAATATGTCTTCACTTACAGAAAATGATACGATCAATTAATAATAATTGTTTGAACAAAAAATCTTTTCATTGTATTATTATTTCTCTCTTTCTCTCTCTCTCTCTCTTTCCCCCTCTTTAATATCTTGTTGTTCTTTTTGCAAGAAAAAGACAAATGTTTCAAACTCACTCGAATGATCTATGTATTTTTGTTCTATTAGAATTTCATATACTTTTCTTTTTCGTCTTTTACATTTGCTCTCTGACATTAACTCGCACAAAAAACATACGGAATGTCTCGAAAAACCAAACAACCAATTCGATGAATTTTTGCTAGAACTAAAACTAACAAAAACCAATAAATTCCAGATAAACACATAAAAACACGCACAAACACCTATCTGTTGAGAATCATTTCTAGGTCATGGATCGGACTATAATAGTGAATTGTCTGATGTACAAGAGGAAGAATTATATTTATTCTCTCAGTCACAATATCATACTACAACATCGTCATCAATGGAAAGATTTCTAAAAAGGTCCAGTCAACCTCAATCGAACGCCTCAGTAATTGACCAGACAAAAGCACCAAATAGTAAAAAGAAGCTAAAACCCGATTATGAAAAACGACGTTATCAGTGTTCCATCTGCTACAAACGATTTCAGCATAAGCATCATTTGAAAGAACACGAACGATTGCACACAGGTGAAAAACCATACACATGCGATCGATGCGGCAAACGGTTTAGTCATTCAGGTAGACAATTCTGACATGTTCTCAGAAATTCTTCATCAAAAACTTTTCAGGCTCGTATTCTCAGCATATTCATCAACGTAACAAATACTGTCGACCAGGTCAAACTGATAACGACCTCGAATAACTCACATATTCCAGGAGATCTTCGCGAACAGTTTCATCTGCAAAAACAATGTGCGCTTTCTCCTAAATATTTTATTTATTAACCAGTCATCTCTACCACTAACTGCAGATTACCGTCTATATAATCTTTTAGTATTGTAATCTAGATCGTTTTGTTTTCTTTGCTGAAGTAAACATAGAATATTGTAGGATAAAAATATTAATCTAATCGCGTGCTATTAATAATGCGAAGCATGAACTACAAAACAATGGTTAAAATGATAAAAAGAAAAGTGACATTGGGATGAACCATGTTGGAATGAACGCTTGTGTAGAAATGAACGAGAAAGGAAGAAATTTATAGGAGCACATGCTTGTGTAACCGACATGTTAAGTCGATAGATATGGTGTTAGAGCGATGAATGAATGAGAAAAGAATTAAATTTCACTCCTGTTCATAAAGACTTTGTCTGTAACTTTCAAGACAATGAAAGATGTGCGCAGTATCGAAAAACATGCATTGAACGTTATAACTTGAAACTTAAATTCAATTGTCATTTCAATTATCCGAGTACTCACGTGCCTATGAGTTATCATCATAGAGAGGGCGTGCCGAAGGGTGCATCAGCTAGCTAATTCGACCTATGATAGAAGTGCAAATTCATCAACATTATATTAATTCAAGAATAAATAAAGAAATAGATATAGCTCACTCATGTCAATATAGGAATACAGGAATAGACTCAGTTTGGCTTACATGTACAGATCTAGATGGATGCTTTTAACAGGTTAATTACATGATGAAAACTCTCAAAAGAATCGCTATGAAGTTTTAATACAATAGGAGTAATATTCGTAGAAATTATGGATTGGTGGGACGTATTGACCGCTAAGAATTGGTTAGTTTTCATAAAAAGTACAATTTTTGTATCGGCTCATGGGCGTCTGCGTACATAACGTGTGCTTTGAAGCCTTGTATAAGTAGGATGATAAGGTATAACTCAACTGGAATGCTGGAATAGTTAAAGTCAAATTTCGAGTTTAATACTATGGTCACACATCAACATTGATAGTCAGATGGAATTGATCACTTGTTATATCTATTTGTCATGTGTCTTCAAAGAGCAACTTAATGAAAGAAGAGGATTTATTAGATCCTGGTGTTAGTAAACCTTCGCCCAATTCACAAATTCAATATGAGTATGATCAATCAATTTATCAAGAAAATACGGAACGATGTTGACCATCCGTATGACAAACTAAATGATGATACAGTTGATTGAATTAGACGTAGATCCTGATTATGGTTTATTTGAATATATATACTTTCTCATAAACATTTTATTTATTAATCAGTCATTTCGGCTGCCACTAATCACTAATTGCAGATCATCGTTTATAGTCTTCGTTGAAATAAATACAGAAAACTATAGAATAAAAACAACATCAATCTAATAATATGCCACTAATGATGATAATAATAGACTACAAATGAGTAAAACAAAACGAACAGTTGTTGACAATGTAGCCGACGACGCGCTTGGTGACATCTTCTCGTCAAGACATGAGCCCGAAACACAGCGCAGTCTTGTGGCGCAAACAACACCACGCGGATGTTGACATTTCAAATCAGCTACACGACTTTTGCTATTCCACAAGCCTTTGCAACGATTTTGATTGAGAAGTAAGTCCAATCGATTGTTTCCTGTTGTTCCAACGCCCACTTGAGTGGCACCAAAGCGGACAGCAAACGATGACTTTTGCTGATCCACTATAAATGGTCCGTTTGGTTCGCATTTTTCCGTTGGCGATGTGCACTCGCATGCATCGATTATATAGATTCCCTTCAAGTTTTCACCCGAGATGGATGATAGGATGGTTAAGATGATAAGAGAAAGGATAGGAAGACAGGTGACATTCGAATGAACCATGTTGGAATGAATACTTGTGTAGAAATGGATGTAAAAGAAGGAAATTTATAGGAGCACATGTTTATGTAATTGAGATGTTAAGCTGGTGGATTTGGTGTACAACTGAAGCGATTGAATGAATAGAAAAGAATTTTATTTCATTTTTGTTTGAAACGAGTATATTGATTATGCTTATGTATTGGTAAGAAAGATTTGTAATCGGATACAGAAAAGAAGAGAAAACTTTGTTAATTGATTCTATATATGATCATGTTCGAAGAAGAGTAGTCATTATTCAACCGAAGTTTTTTCTATTCTTTGTTACCCCTTGATTATGTCCTGTAGCTATTTTTAGTTTATGAAAACAAAATCTAATAAAAACATTGTGAATTCAAATTTGAAAGAGAGAGGAAAGCAAAACAAGATGGATGTGACTTTTCGTCATCATTCATTGTCGCCAATGGATAGAAATAACAAAACCTACTCATAAATGTTCACAGTTCATACGACGAAAAATACGCGTGACCAGTCAATGTGCATGCACTGACTGAATGGCCTTATTATGTGGACATACAAGAAGGTCACTTTATTTATACATATATATATTCTTTCTGTTTCTGCTCGATTGGTCACGCTGTTAACGCTCTTTTCCATTCCTGCTTCTTTCGATTACCCGTGCGAACAAACCAAGACTAAATTCATTCGCTATCACCACAATTTCAAGAATGAACAACTCCACTATTTCGAGCATAACAGATTCGCCGAAGACCATAACCCACGACACAGGCGATAATGCCTGGATGATGACATCCGCTGTATTAGTTCTTCTAATGACACCGGCCCTAGCTTTCTTCTATGGCGGTTTGGTTGATCGCAAAAATATTCTAAACCAACTGTTTCTCTCATTCATCTGCATGGGTATCGTATTTGTACAATGGGTACTATTTGGCTTTTCCTTTGCATTTGGTCCACCTGTCAGTGCCGGTTTTGGTTCATTTGGTTGGTCTATATTACGATTTGGTGAAGCTAATAATGGTATCTACAGTCCAACATATCCATTATTAACATTTGCCATGTATCAAGGTACATTTGCTATTATTACACCAGCATTGATTTCCGGTGCCATAGTTGGCCGAATGAAACTCATTCCTTACATGCTGTTCATCTTTATCTGGTCGACAGTCTGCTACGATCCAATGGCACATTGGGTATGGGGTAGTAACGGATGGTTGAAGCAGCTCGGCACACTTGATTTTGCTGGTGGTACCGTTGTACATATTCTTTCGGGTGTTTCTGGCCTTGTTGCGGCAGCTATACTCGGTAAACGATCTGATTATGATCCTCGAAGTACTGCGGCTCATAATCTTCCATTCACCATCTTGGGAACTGGTCTTCTCTGGATAGGATGGTGCGGCTTCAATGGCGGTTCAGCTAATTTAGCGAAGTATGTACGAACAATCAAACGATAAAGTTCGCCGAATGGTTGCTTCTATTTATCTATTTAGTGGCGTGGCTGCTCTCGCCTTAATTAATACCAATGCTGCTGCAGCTGCTGGTTTACTAACGTGGGTGATAATTGATGCTATTCGTGGTCACGTCTCAATATCTGGCGCTTGTGTTGGACCTATTATTGGTCTTGTTGCTGTAACACCAGCATGTGGCTTCATTCAGCCAGGATGGGCATTATTTTTTGGTGTACTCTCCACTTGTATCATCTATTGTCTTCTTTTATCCAAGAAATACATTCATTTAGACGATACATTAGACGTAGCGGTTGTGCATGGCGGAGGTACTGATGGTATTCGATAGTATTTACATGTGATACTGATCCTTTCCTTCTTTAGCTGGTATTTTGGGAGCTTTCATGACTGGTTTATTTGCTGAACAGACAGCAAATCCATCAGGTGGCTATGATGGTGCCTTCTACGGTCGACCAATTCAACTATGGTATCAAATTGCTGGTATACTCACAGCCATAGGTAACAATATGATACTATTTGAAAATGTAATCCTCCGTGTATTATTTAGTATTTGCTGCTATCTGTACTGCTGGAATTCTTTATCCATTGGATTGGATTATTGGCATTCGTTTAGCTAAAGAAGACGAACTCGAAGGTCTAGATCTGGCTGGTATGACACAATACTGTTTTAGTATGCGATAAAAAGTGTGAATATATTCTGCCTTATGTGTAGCTCATGGTGAAGGTTGGGAAGTGGTTGCATCGCGAGCTGTGGGTGATTTAGTGAAAAAAGTATTAGCCAATCAGCATACAACACGAAACGAAATATGTGACAACGGCACTTTTGAATTACACTATACTCCCACGGATCCAACTAGACAATCATTTAAAGTCAATATTCCAAATCTACCGAAGACAACGAACGATTCAGTCAATTCACCATCAATTAATCATCCCTAAGCATAAAAATCTCGTATCTCTGGTCTTATTAAATAATAAAACTAATAGAATTGTGTGTTCATCATAGAATGTCGGTGTACCTATAGGTACAGTAGAACATGATTGATGATAAGGATCAAACGTTTCGTTCTTTTAACAAAATTTCCCTGTGTATCCGTTATGTTATCAATTTACACATAGGAGAGTTTATTGATAAAAGTCATATCTTTAGATACAATATGTACACGCGTCGAATGCCTGATTATTCATGTCGATTTTGCTGGACTCTGAACATGAACAGAAGGAAAAAACGTAAAAAATATATCATCACCTTTTTGTTATCGTTTATTCAATACCTATCATTGAAAGTCAGTCATTTCGTTGTTCTATTCGAAAGAGAAAGTACAGATATGAATTCAACGAAAGTTACAACTCACGACACAGGCGATAATGCCTGGATGATGACATCCGCTGCATTAGTTCTTCTAATGACACCAGCTCTAGCTTTCTTCTATGGCGGTTTGGTTGATCGCAAAAATATTCTAAATCAACTGTTTCTCTCATTCATCTGCATGGGTATCGTATTTGTACAATGGGTACTATTTGGCTTTTCCTTTGCATTTGGGCCCGAAATGAAATTTGGAATCGAATCGTGGAAATGGTTTGCATTGAGATTTGGTGAGGGTGATAATGCCATGTACAGTCCAACATAT